ACAGTCTCCTCACATTCATACTTCTCCCCTCATTCCAGCCGCATCTTCCAGAGAGCCATCAGGAATGCTGCTGACCTCGGACACATAGTTGTTGCTGCTGCCGGGAATGATGATCTGAATCTGGATCAGTTCCCAGCATACCCTTGTTCCTATGCACCATCGATCCCGTCCTTGCTTTGTGTCGCCGCTAGCACTTCGACAACAGCTTCACCGGTATCGATCGCCTCCTTCTCTAACATAGGCTCTGCTGTTAACATTGTTGCTCCCGGCGTCAACATACTCTCGACGTACCTTTTAGGCTCGTATGCTTATCTCAGTGGTACATCGATGGCCACCCCTCAAGTTGCCGGCGTTGCTGCATTACTGGCTGCATTGGGCTTGGGTGGACAGAGGATCACAGACTCTATAACACGGTCTCGTACCGCAACCCTGAGCAACCGGTTAAATTTGAATAACCTGGGGGAATTGGACGCTTTGAATGCGGTCAATATCGGTCTTGGACAGCCGACCAGCCCTCCGACGCCGCCATCTAGCGCGAGATTCTCAACGCTTATCTCCGCGTGGAGTCTTGGGCTCTTATTTGTTATAACGGAGCGATTCGCTTTCTAGCGATGTTGCTGCAACATGTACTCTTTGGAATACATTGCCCACGAGGCCACTTTTCAACTCACAAGTGAGGACTACAAAAAGTATAGCAAGTCCCTGCGTTCGTGTGTTTGGTTATTTGTCAATAATGAGCAGCTCTCAACTCATGAAGGTATGAGACTTCCTCGGAAGCCGCGTAGAAGACACTCCTTATACCGCGAGTCAATCTGGGATTGGCGGTGCTGTGTGAAGCAGTAAATAGTTAGTGAACGAATTTGCAAATCGAGTACACTGACATAGTGACTTGAAGGATGAGATCGATGCCTCAGTCTTGTTATGAGAAGTGAAGTATAAGAACAGTATTCATTGCCAGAGGTATTGAACTAGTCAACGTTGGTACGTAGATGTCTTCCCAAGCACGGCTAGCGAGTATCTGGAACGGCATTGGTTCTCATGATATTGGCAACACGAATCAACGCCGAAACAGTCATCCCTGGGAGGGTCGGTGAGGACCTCCCAGGGATTGCTCGTTCCTTGTTTCTACAGAATTTATTCCAACAGTGCAGCACTCGGATGAGTCAGTCGAACTAAGATAGGCCTGTTGCTAGGGAAGCAAGAGAATTGTCCTCAGTCCGAAAGTTCCATTCACTCATCAGTGACATACGGTGTGTCCCATCAGACACACTATTTCGAACCTCTCTGGTGAGGCTCACAAAATAACAACGTGGCAGAAAGGCTTCTACTGGAGAGTCTTAGCGGTTCGCGAATCGCGTGTCTACCCCCCAAAGGATACTTTCGTGAGGGGCAATGGAGGCGGTCTTCGCGAGCCACCTGGCCAGGACGAAAACCGCAATAGCAGATTCAATTCAACCGTAGAAATGTGGACTCCGTTACGAATATTATACAACCAAACACCTTGAGACTCCAGTGAAGATGTGCTTCCGACGATGCAGCACACTGATTGTGTGACATTATGTCAATCGAGGGCGTTGATGTTGTGTATTACCGTCCATACTCTACCAATGGTAAAGTACCATCTCGCAGTACGAGATGGTAATAATTACCGGGTAGTTTACCCCATCATGGGATATGTCGGCTGCAACAAGTTTCGCCAAATCGGATTACGCCTAATCGTTGCCAACCGGATTTCAAGGGGAGTTGAGATGTTTTCAGGCGAAACGTGTTATGGTAGCGGATATCACCAAGTTGTCAATATCAGAGTGGAAACAGGAATGACCAACTTTTTGGTGAGGTTTTCGGTTTGTTGGCGAGAACAAGTTGGTGGTTGTAATCTGTGCCTTTACCGCCCCCGCCAAGAGGGCGGCGGGAACAGATATCGCCGAGATGGCGTTTTCTTGCTGGATACAGGTTCTGCCAATTGGTCAATGAAGCAGGTTACACCACATCATCTGCTGAAGTTATCGTCGCTTTGAAGTGCTATTACTCGTGTATCCGTATTGAGTCGCCAGCACGCATAGGTCCTCATTTTGATTCGATAATTTCGAGTGTGCGCGAGTACGTGAGTGCGTGCAAATTATTTCTCAACAACCAGAAAAAGTTAGAAGGCGGCGATAGAATCAATTGGAAGCTTAATGGGTGGGTATACCATCTATTAGTATGAGAATCCCAAAGTATATGCGTGGGAAACATTTCTTGCATGTCGAGGCTGGGGTTTGAACCAGGGACCTATCCCGCGCCACAGGGGCAAGCACGACAGACGGTCCAAACCCATAAAGTTTTCTCGGTAGCGAGCTCCGCCACTTTGTCAAGTAGGCCAGGTTTGTTCAAATGCCATCAAAGTTGTCGGCCTTATTTAGAAAGGTCGTCCACTCCTGTTGATCAAGCAGAAATCACCAACATCATCTTTCCATAGTCTGGTACAAGGGACAGGTTTCCGCGTACGGGCGAGCGCATTTCAAAATTTGGCGAAGCGCCATCAGCAGAAAATTGTGTGGAATCCGGTTGGTATTCTTCGAGTTGGTGTTTTCCCGTTTACGGAGGGGTCTGTACCGCATTTTGCCAAATCCAGATTTGGCCAACCAAAAAGTAGTTTCGCCAAGTTTGGCGAGTTGGTGAAACCGCATATGTTGAAGCTTTGGGTCATACCGAGTTGAGGTTAAGTAATCTGTAGGGGCTTCCTCGTCTTCGATCTTCGACCTCTTGAGTTGCGCCTGCGCAGTCTTGTACCCATTATCATATGGCAGATAGTCCCAAAACAGTTATTGATGTAACAAACTCGCCCAAAGGTCTGGGGTGGATGAGAGCTGTTAGTATGATCGTCATGGGCTGTGTCGGAGTTGGGATCTTAGCACTACCGCGTACAGCAGCTTTCGCTGGTTGGCTCGCCGCCTTGCTTGGTCTCATTTTCGCCGGACTCGTCAATCTCTACAATAACATTATTCTATGGCGTACTCTTTTCCTCACCGCCCAGGGTGAAGATCGAGTGGCTAGGTCTTACGAGCATGCAGTTCGATCTACCTTTGGTGTCGGCGGCTCGATCTACAGCGGAATCATTGTGCATGTCCTGCTCATTTCCGTGTGTGTCGCGATGCTTATTTTGATGGGGAGTACTACTGAGGCTATGACACGAGTCCTCAATAGACAAGCCTGGATTGCTCTGTGGACACTTGTGGGTATCCCTTTCTCGTGGATAAAGGAAGTTAAAGATGTTGGCTTCATTGCAGTCTTTGGTGTCACATCTGCTTCTGCGATGGTGATCGTTATAATTGTTGCATCGGCTGACAGAATGGTTACTGATGGTATCTCTGAAAGCCTTGCTGTCGTGCCCAGCGATGCTTTGGAGTTTATAGCGGCCTTAGCCTCATACTTCTATGTCTACAGTTTCACCGCTGCGTCACCCACTATTTGCTATCATATGACCAAGCCCGAGAACTTCCCCAAAACGGTGGTGGTTGCAACTATCTTCATCACACTATTGTATTCATCTGTGATGGAGCTGGGATACGTGGGCTACGGTCAGTTCATAGCGACAGTCGATACAATTGTGGACGCGATTTCCCCGCCTGGACAGACACTTGACGTATTTGGGTGGCTCATCAACATTACAGTACTTGCAGTCATGTTGCCACACTACCTGGTTCAATTCACACCGACAGCCAAACAAATCGACAGAATGTCTTCCCACATCGGTGAAAGAAAGGGGTGGTCTACCAAACGCTGCAAAGTCACGGCGCTTGTTTGTCGAACTCTCCTTGTGATAGCCGAAGGAGGTCTCGCTATAGTCATTCCCAAGGTCAGTAGTATTGTAAGTCTTATAGGCGCTTTTTGCTCGACCCAGGTTACAATTCTCTTTCCCATAGCCTGCTACATGAAGGTAAAGAGGCAGCACCAGCTGCCTTGGCCTCTATGGGAGATACTCGTCCACGCCTTGTTCACTATGGTTGCCTTCGTTATAATGGGAATAGGAATCTACGGCGCGATCATCCATTTCTGAGGATCTAAAAGCACGGACCACGCCGTATGATTTGATTCAAGCGGATTAAGGCTTCTTCAGGAAGCTTCGTTACGAGTCGTCTCTCTCGTTTGCTGTCGAACGTCTGAGTCGTCGTCATGGCTTCGGTCTTTGTGCACTATATTCCCATGTTAAGAATATTGAGTGTCACACATCTCGTTTGATATGAATTATCATTGAGTCCAATCGCTCGCCTCAGATTTCCTTTTTGAATTATATTTGTCAGTTTCGAGCTTATAGATCTCATTGTTTAGTTCATTTATTCGAGGGATTCAACTAGTCGATCACGAGTAGGGCACTGAGGCGCAACATTCTCATAAGCAGCGACCAGATCAGCACCCCTCGTTCCGACTCGATAGCACGATACAGAACAAGCACGATTGTGAGTCTCTCAGCTAAAGACGTTTACTTGTTGAAGGATGATGGCGAGAAGCAGACAGGCTTTTACGATAGGTCTTAGCGTACGAGAATCGCTTGTGACCATGAAGACAGATGAACGATGAGAATACCATACTAGGTAACGTCTAGGGTGAAGGCACTACTAGAGTCATGTGCACTTTTGTACTGCCGCTATCGGACGAAAACACTACTTCTTGAAGATGGTAATGCTCATGTGAAAATCACACTGTGAATGCTTTCAAATTATTGAAAAGTGATCAGGTGACCACCAAAAGTGGGAACACCGCGGTAGTTCTTTGAAGTTGTGCTCCAATCTCGCAGGCCACTACCGGAACGTTCCCCAGCATCTCCTATACTATCTCCAGTTCGGGTTGGGCGTATTTTCTATTGCTGCTGCTGCTGAGCTTCTACTGGTATAATCTAAGGGCCTCGAGGACCACTTTTGTTAAGTCGCATAACTGTGTAGAACCTCACCCTGAACAATACCCCTCCATCGTTTATGGATGTACCGTCTCTCAGCGTTCCTCCTTATATCAGATGATGACCATCATCTTGCGTTCAGAGGTCGAACTCATGACGGTAAGAATTCCGCCTGTACGACTACTTTACTCGTCCAATACCATATCGACATGAAGTAACACAAGATACATCACATTAAAGTAGGCAAGCAGCCAAACGAGTGATCGGCAGAGAAAGCTCACAGCCAGCGTTCGTAAGTGTGATGTTGCCTGTTCTTTATTGTTGTAGTCTTTGCATCATTCGTGGAGGACCATTCCACGTGAACACTAACTCGAACAAAACACTGGAGATGAGCGGAACTTCTAATTCTATCACTGTATGGACACGGCGACTTCAATCTCTAAACTTGGCATCATGGGAGTGTTACTAGCGATAGGCGAAAGGCCCCAATGGCCGTTGTATCAAATGAGGAGGTCGACTCAAGTTTGTTGAGTACGGGGAGACCTGAAGACCCTTCAAAGTTATACCACACAAGCTGTAGATGAATACGTGATTGCTCGGCCGCTGTATCGGCTGGACACTCGAGCTACGCGTCGGAACTGGTGTCCATGTACTCTGCCTCTGTGGCATGGGAGATATGCGCCCAATTTGGAAGTTCACAGGGTTGAACTCGCTAAAGGAGCTGGCGTATGCTGAGTTCCCCCGCGGCACTGCATGCAGTGCCTGAGGTGGAGGCTATCTCTTCTCCCACTGAATACTCACCGGTTGTGACTGTGTATGTACGTTGCTTCGAGTGAGCTTCGACCGAGGAGGCGTTTCTGACGTAGCCGTCGACGGCACCACAGTCGGTGTTGTGTTCCCTCCTGATAACGGGAAAGAACAATTTCGGCAAACTCCAGCACGTACCGAGACCATAGGCGAAAGTTGCAGCATTGGCAGACGTGTACAGCTGCTGCCGCTTCCCGATACCCTGACGAGGAAGTGCTTCCATGGAGTACGAATGACTGTGTTTACTGTCGGTGGCGGCATTCTTGATATCTTCTGGCTCTGCGACATACAGGGTGATGATGATGATGCTTTGAAGTCAATTTGTGGTATCTAGTTGAAGCCTTTCACGACCTCCAAAATTCAACTTTCACGGGAAGAATCGAGACAGTATCTCCTTCTATCACCGAGTTGAGAGCACGTCCTCTCGATTGTAGTTCTACCACACCAGTGGGTCAGTGAATTGCAAGATACTGTTCGTGACCCTGGAGACTAACCTTAGGAGGAAGCCTCTGCGTGACTTCTTCGCATTTCATTTGCATCTGGTTGACCGTGCTCTTCAATGTTTCCAGCCTGGAGGAGGATGAGCATCCAGATACCCACGGGATGACCCACTCTCGCGCCATGCGGGCCATAGAGACCGTTTCAAAGGAGTCGTTAATACTCCTCGAGATACTGGCTGAGCTGTCGAACTCTCGTAAGGATCGAGCTGCGGTCAATATTCAGAACTGCCATCACAGAAGTTCTCCCAACCTTCCGGTGTGGTCCGTGGCCAGTCGTCACTCTCTTGGTCCTCCTCGACGGTGAGCAGATCTAGATCGGCGGCTGTACGCAGGCCGCGAACCGAGGATGGGACCGATAGTGGGAAGACACCTAGGGGGAGGGAAGCCGCTCGGAGCTGCAGGGGTACTCGTACTTTCTCGGGGATATCCCCGACTCGTCGGTGTTGTTGTAGACGGTGTTGCCGAGACTAAGCTTAGTGATTTAACATTCAAATAAGCTGCTCCTGTGATAAAGGTCATTGCTACCGGGTCTAGCTGCGATAAGTTACCTCCCTTATAGCTAGAGTGTAGAGCCATTGTGACACGGCCGAACGCCCAGGCCAGCCGCGAACCTGTATGAGGAGCTATGCGGGTGTCCAGATGGATCATGGGCTCACGCCTGAAGCCAGCCAAGAGGACCAACAATCGCTTAGCTCGATGTCGACGGCCTGATCAAGATCGTGGGGACGACCAGTACGGACATACCCCTACAGACAACCACGGCCTTCCATCTCAAGAGAGCAAGCTTGCAGAGCCGATTGGCACTAGCGGCGATGAGCATGAACCATTTCCGACGTACTCTAAGGAGAGCTCATCTTCCAGGATGAGGAGTCCGTCACTTACTGTCGCGTGAGACGCTTCCTCAAGACGTAGTTGTACCATGCTAGGAGGGCACTGAGAAGCAGAGTAAAAGTGTTGGAGGAATATATGTTCGTTTTCCTCGGCGGAGCTTCGGAATTTCCTCACTAACTGTAAATGTTTACATACGAATTCGGGTGAAAGTGTACAGGAACCAACAAGAATTTCCCAAAATTTTCTCGGAATTTTCATATTGTCACCAACACATGCAGTTGACCATGTGTATATTTTCCCACGCTGTAGAGTAACTTCACCGTCCTTACACATGACAACCTACCCCTTCCGAGTCGCTCTCAGTTTCGTCCTCGCCAGAGTGTGAGCACACATACAGGAGTTGTGGTACGAGGCGGCGGTAAACTCGTCCGCTAGGTCTGTGACCTGCGAGGAGGTGCGGGAAGATGAAGGGATACTCGAGTGGCGACTGACCTCCCTCTGGTATCCGGAAGTGATACGGATGATCCTGCCGTTGAGGACGGCAGTTCTCCAGCCAAGGAAGCATCTCAAGAGGCTGATCAAAGAGGTATCCTTATTGATGGTGGTGACAGCAACTGGCTAGTACGTTGCAGTGTCACACTTCCTCACAAAGGTTGAGGAGACGAAACGCCAAGTTGCGGCTCGACGAGGGGTTTGGTAACCCAACAGGTGAGGACGGCCAACAGGCGGCATTAAAACGACCAACTACAGTATTGCCCGAAGCTTTTGAAGTTCTCCACACAGTGTATGCCTCGTGGTGGCCGCTCTGTCGGAACACAGTTGACCAACAGAATTGAGAATCGCTAACAGCTGGAAAGTCGACGTGTTACAAAGGGAGCATCATGAGCCCATGTCGAGGAACTCCACAGACGGTTTTTGTCGCTGATCCGCCTCCTCGTAGTGCGCTCCCATCTCCGTGAAGAAGCTCTTTTGAATTCGGAAAAGCTCCCCTAAGTATTTCTCTACCCGATAGCGACGATCTTGCCTGTCGAAGCTAGCCTGCTGGCGGATTCATCTCTACTACTCCCTCAACCGGTCCGCTTACCCGTGCATTGTCCCGGATGGCCTCCGTCACGCCCACAAAGGTGCTCTCAGCCTCTGCTACTTGTCGAGCCCGTTCATAGAGCTCTGATGAAAGTCTCTGAGACGTAGCCACTAGCCGATCGTCGTCGCCATTATCAGCGTTCGAGTGTGCCGTCTGGAGGGAGGCATGGGTTGACCTGATGCCGCAGCCAGAAGAGGATCCTTTCTAGTAAGGTAGCCACCTCCTTCGTATCCTCTCAGCCACAACACCACGCCGTCTGTCCAGGCGCTCTCTCATCCTCACAAGCGCCGAGTACTGCTGGTCTCTCTGGTGCAGCTTCACGAGGACCTCCGAGAGGTTTCTGAGGTCCTCATCGAGAGTAGCCGTGAGGGTTCGGATAGCTGCACCAGGGGCTTGAGCATGCGTGTAAACCAGATGTGTATCGCAGACCTTTGCATGTCTTCTCTGATGTGTTGCAAGAGGTTTCAGCGATCAGCCTCAGCCTTCTCATGGCCCCATCAACGACATCGCCACCGTCTGAAGGTTGCAACTCCGCGAACGAGAGGGAGCGCTTTACGACAGTTTGCTCTGATAAGCATCGAGTGATAGCCTCCAGTGCAGCAGCACAGCTTCTACCGAGCCGGCGCACCTCCATACGGTTGAGTAGTAGTGCGTCTGTATGAGCAGCAAAGCCGATAGCCGCACCCTTCACCGTCTTCAATAACCTGAGGGCCACACCTCTTACACACAGTAGTAGACTTCATAGTGTGAGCTCTCCCAGTCGGAGGCGACCACGACCTACTGCCGCTCAGCAATGACAAATGCTCGCAATGCGGCCAGGGAGTCCTCGGGTATTGGGCTCATCGCCTCTATGAGCTCTTCCTCCTCATCATCACTGGCTCGACCACCACCGCTACAGTGTTGAGAGGAGGAGGAGGCGAAGACCTACGGTAGCCACCTCCTGCAGTGTATCCCCTCCACTGCTTTCCTAACATTAGATCCGCTCTCCCACATGGTCGATAACCTCTCGGCCATGCTCCTATGGTAGGACCCCATTTGGCTTCTACTCTCAGTGGAGGGCCTCAAATAACTACACATTGAGTGGCTGTGGGCATCTAGGGAAGCTGTGTCGTACTTGTTGATGGTGTTGGCCGTCTCGCTGACCGTATCAGAGATATAGTCGGTCCAGGCCTCCACTACTGGGGCCTCTCCTGAAGAGCCGTGGCATTGTCCAGGACCCCTCAGTGTTGAAGTGGAGAAGCAGCTGCTAAGCTCATTAGTGCATTATTGACTTCAACCAAAGGGCTGTCAGTTTATCACAACACAGCAGTAGGAACAAGGCCTCGTTCACCTTCTCGTCCTCCTGCCTTCTGCAGAAGGTGATGACGAGCAATGTCTACTACGTATCGCTTTGTTCAGGAAGATAGTCGCCATCAAGCCTCAATAGTCGTCTCAAACATAATAGGATTGAGAGCAGGTCACATACGGGTAGATTGGAAGGCCACTGGGTACACATATCGTACATACTGACGGCTCTCCGAGATCTCCAGCTACGCTACTACTACAGCTTCGCCTCTATCATATAAGTAGCCGATCTCGATGACATCAGGTCATCGGAAGGTAGGACATCTCAAGGACATCGATGATGTCATCCTTCACCAGCTGAGTATGCTCTTCCTGCCAGACTTTGATCTCCTCCAGTCTCCTACACCCGATGTTTGTACTCTCATTGTGTAGAGCAGATGTGTTCCTATAGCTCATTCTAGTGCTGCTCGTAGCTCGATACTTGAGGTGAGGCGCTCCTGCCTATGCCCACCTAGTTGCCGAGAGGCGTGACTGATGTATGTACGACGATTCTGCTTTGGTTGACCAACTCCTCAAAGTCTCGAAATTGGGCTGTTCCACATAACTTCCCATCCTGGCAGCCATACTATCGCTATAGTAGCTCCTGCACTCTACAGGTCTAACCTGACCAGGACCTAGAGCCATGCTTAGTAGGTCGATGATGATTTCAGGGCCGTTTCAACTATGTTGAGAACATCAACACCGTCAAGGAGAGGAGGGCCTCTGGGGCTATCGCTGCTGCTGCTGCTGCTAAGGGGGTTGACCTTTCAACCATTGCGAATGGACAGAAACTGCAGTCTCGCTCATACGACATAACAACTCAACAACCTGCTCACTACGACAACTACTTAGTGTCATGGGACTCATCGTCATTAACACGGTCGAGGTCGAGTTGGACCGTCTTGATAGCCGTTGCCACAGCAGCTGCATTACGCAGTGTACGCTCTAGCTCCTCCCTGGTCTCGGCGTGCCTTTGCCTTTCTATCATCAACTCCTAACAGGGGCATACCATAACACGCGGTAAGACTTGCCATCGACGCCCACCTCCTTCAAAGCATGGCTGCTGGCAGTCCCATTATCGAATGCTGTGGCAAGCGCGGAGAGCTCCTCCCGCAATGAGCAGATCTCAGCCTCATATACAGCCGGCCCGGCCTCCAGCTGCTGCTGCTGCTCCTCTGATACGCCTCGACAGGCATCAGCCGTCTTCTCCCTAATACAAGATTCACGAATATCGCCCTCAAGATGTACTCATCACCTCTCGGCCCGTATGAGCTTCTCCTTCAACTTTGCATTCTCCAACAACAACTTCCGCAGTTCCACATCCCTCGCCTTAGCCTTCTGACGGAAGACCTCTTCCAGCGCGGAGGATGCTATGATGCCTCCTACCTTTCCCTTCATCTCCTCTCGTTGCAGCTCCAGCTCCTGCATCGCTTCCCTCGACTCAGCCGCTGCAGCTGCAATGGCGACCTCACTGCAGGTAAGCTGATCGAGTACGGTGTATGAAACGGTCGTCGTCACCAAACCCACCCTCTCCTGTAGGGCAGCCACTTCCTCCCTTAACACGCTCGCCTCGCTATCGTTTTCGACCACTCCCTTCAGCCGGCCGACCTCAGCCTGCAGCGCTTCCGCCACGGACGATGCCTCAGCCTCCCGCGTCACCAATAGCATTCTGAAGATATGCGCTCTGCATGGAGCCAGCTCGCCAACGACTAACTTTAATTTCTGCATCTCGCCTTTATGACGAGCCTCTAGCTCCTGCAGTCGGCCCTCCATGAGGCCCCTCTCCTCCTCTATCCCCCATTGCATAGCTCTCATATCCTCTGCCATCCTTTCCCCCTCTTCACACTACAACACAATAAGAGCTACCGCCACCCCATGTACACATACCACGCCAGCCAGAACAATGACCATCCCCTGTTCAGCATCCGACCGTCTCATTGACGTCCTCTCTAGAGCCAGCTGCAAGGAGTCTATAAGTCCTTCAGAACGCCTTTGCTGCTCCTCGCTTAGTTCCATGGCCATCTTGTGCCTCTCTCGGAGTTCACATATCCTACCATCATCACCATCCATCCTCCGACGCTCTCGATGCAGCTACATCTCATTGTAGCTATCGCCCTGGCGCTTCCACTCCTCCTCCCTCGCTTCCCAAGAGGCCACTACAGTTGCTTTCTCCTCAGCCGCATCCTTCTCGTGCTTATCAAAGCTGAAGGGAAACCCTCCTCAAAGCACTACTATGCAAATAGTAACTCCTTCGAGAGGGTATCGAATTGTTCCAACAGTTCCCTATATGCCTTTTCCTTCACCAGCAAGACGTCCGCTGTCGTTCTCTTGATATCGTCAACGATGCACTCTTTAATGCACAGCTGCTCCCTCATCGTAGCTATCACCCCATTTAAGCGTTCTATCTCTGCATTCAGAGGCTCCGCCTGGTAGATCCAGGGCATGAGCCCTTCCGAGAGCAGCAACAACGTACCGTCCTCTTCAGCTCGTCTACCTCCAAGGCCAACACGTGTGCCCTCTGTGCCGTCGCGGCCTCCTTATCGTAGCGACCCTTCAAGCCTTTATACCTAATAGCCATGGGCAAGACCGGGAAGGCGAGACCATTTACTCAGCTAGCAGCTGTTGATGCCGCTCCTCTGCATGCTCCAGCTTGCTATCACCATCTCTCTGGACCCTAGTAATCCGCCTCTCCAGAGCCCGACGCTGCTCCTCAATAGCCGTCCCCATGCCGTCCACCTCAGCATACACCTTCCTCAGCCTGGACAACAGGATAAGTTTATCCTCACCCTCGAACCAGCTACTTATTTTCTAGCTCCTTGCGAGAAGCCTCGGCACCCTCACACTTAGTCGTCCACGCCTCTATCTCCGTGTGTAGCCTTGCCTCTTCCTCAACCCATGCAGACCGCTCTGAGTAGCAGTAGGATGATCCAGCGAGATGATGCTGCTGCTACCCCTATCGTGATCTGCCAGCAGCCGCTCGACATGGACCCTCCAACACTCCCACTCCTCAGCCGCCTGCATCCTGGACGATTCAACTCGGCTCTGTAGCTCCTTGTTATCACTCTCATACCCCGCGCTGCAGAGCAGGGGGACGATCACTCCCAATAACAAGTGATACCAGCTCACGCCTTCTGCCTCCAGTTACGGTCTCGACGATCCATCTCTCTTTGAACCAGAGCTACCTTCCGAGCCTCCACCGCAGCCCTTGAGAGCAATGCCCAACAATAACAACAACATCAGCAGGGGAGGCGCACCTCTCCTGCTCAGTTCGGACCGCTGAATCCATTGCTGCTAGCTGTCCGAGGACTCGGTCGAATCTGCAGCCTCTCGTGGCTTCCTCATAATTGGATGGTAGCAGCCTACTACCCCTTCTCCTTCTCTCTGACCTTGTCGATCCACTCGTCCTCCAAAGCAAGGTGAGATGCTCTTTGCTCATCTGATGTTCTTCGGAGTGCCCCAACCTGTTGTCATTCCGTCACGCGCCACGAAATTACAGCGTACGATACCTCCTCCACCAACACCTGCATCTCCCTCTCCTTCTCAGCTACCAACGCCCTCTGCTCTTCAATAGCGGCCTCATAGCGACACTAAATGCCAGTAGAGTCTTCCTCTACCACAAGTCGCCCTCGAACACTCACTGCTTGCAATTTCAACTTCACTTGTCCTTCCAATTGCACCCTTCCAATACGCCCCTCCTCCGTGGTCCTCCCATCCCCGCGTATCTGAGGTATACCCCATCGAGGCTACTCTACGAGGGCGACGCTCCCCTATAGCACATCCTCCTCATCCACGTAAGCCGTCGATAATAAAAGCTCCTTGAATGACAGCTGACTGCTAAGATCCTCTACCAGAGCCTCCAACCTGCCCAACACCACCATCAGTGATGCTGTCAATACAGCAGCAGAGCACCTCTCTATCTCAGCACCCTTAGCCTGTATCACTGCCTCCTTCTCTTCAATACTCTCAACCACCTTGGCCCCAGCATCGCGCTCCACAGCCCTAGGTATAACAACAGTCCTGTCCTCCGGCACCACCAAAGAGACTATATTATAGGCATAACTAGAAATGGGCAAATGTTGATGTATAAACTGTGCCGGACCGTCCCTATCCTGTCTCTGTTGTGTCTGCGGCGTGCAGCAGCTCGCAGTATCTTCAAGCTGTGCCGCTAGTTGGTTCGTGAGTATTTCATAGAATTATTAGAGCTTCTATACTGGTTACCTCGATTCTAGTTGGGTGAGTGTTAACTTAATCTACTGGGTTTGGCATAAAACCACCTAATTATATCAACGACATCTAACGACCATAGTCTTTATATTATTAGTTCATATCTATATATCCACCATATGTGATGATACTAACACTATATATGAGGCTACCCGATCCTTAGTTCCATCTCGAGCATCCTCACACCATGCCTCCTCTCCAACTCCTTCCTTTCTTTCTGATACTCCTCATGCACAGCGTGCAGTTCCAATCGATACCGCTCCGACTCTGCTGCTGAATCTTGCGCCAACTCCTCATAACTACTCGAAAGATACGCTGCGCACAGGGAAGAATTCTCTCTGTGTAAGGCTACCCGATCTCCTTCAACCTCAGCCACTCCTTACACTCAGCCAGCTCCTTCCCAAGCCCCTCCACCAAGGACTGCCAACAACATGCCTCCCTGTGGCCCTCTAGGGCCCTCAACACACTTCTAGTTCTGCATTGGGACCTCTCAGCCGCTCTCCCTCCGAATGCAATGCTGATACTCTCTCAGCGAGCTCCTTCCCAAGCCGACCCATCCTACAGACGTACATGCCGCGGAATACTTACTCTGCAGAGGCGTTACTCAGCTTTCATATGTCTCCTCTGCTCCTCGGCCGACCTGATAGCCTCCTCTGCCTTGGCCGCGGCCACTCTCTCCCGATATTGCTCTATGCTTGCCCACATCTGCCACCACAACACCCCATCAGCAACTCTACCGATGAGGGAGGGCTGCCCCTCCCTCCCCCCCTTCACGAGTGATACCTCGCTGATCGTCTTCTCCTTGTCCCCTATACATTTCATCAGCCTGGCCTCCTCCACACGAGCCGCCTCGCCTTCCACACGACCACGATCTCTCTCGGCCGTCAACTCCTGCTGACTGCGTTCCTCCAGAGACTCGTATCTACCTCATCCATCGCTGAGCTCAGCCATTGGTCATCGACTATGGTAGAGGAGTCCCTCATGAAAGCCTCATCTACCGTTCCTCTGCCAACTTAGCCTCCTTCCTCCGCATCTCATGAGCAACAGCCAGCTCCTTCTCCTATCATATCACCCTTCGGCGACTGCCAAGAACTCCTCCAACCTCACTTTCGCTTTCAATGCTTCCCAAGCAGCTTCACGTTCCCGCTGAGCCAACTCGAGCTGTTTCCTCTGACTCTGGCTCTCCTCCACCATGAGAGAAAGCCTATATGACCGTCCATGATCGACTCCAACCTGTAAGGTCCCTACCTAGCATTCGCACTCTCCAGCTCGGTACGTAGCTCTCGCTGTACACTCCATGCCTGATGAAAAGCTAATAAGCGCTACTGAGCAGACCAGCGGTGCCCGACTTCGGACAGCTTCTTCTCTGCCTCCCCTCGCACTGCATCGACCTCGACCACATGAGCCCGACGCTCATCCTTGAAAGTGGTCTCTATCTGGCCTATGCTGGAGATCATCGCCTATAAGAGGGGTACAGTAGTAGCAGTGATGATGATCATAGTACATGGCATTGTTCATCCGATAGGGCCTTGGCAGTGCCCTCAATGGGTGGAAGGTGTGTAGATTGCCCACACTGGGATGGACCCTCCTCCCCTCCTCTATTGCTGGGAGGGCTCTTCGAGGAGGGAGTGTCGGCAGCGAAGAGCATTCATGAATTACACTGTAGTTGGTAGTAGTAGGAGAGGCGTATGGGGACACTACGCGTGTATCGGGTCGGAAATGCGCGTCCATGCTACATGTCAGCTTCGTTCAGTAGAGGAACATTGTAAGCACTACTAAGCAGAGGGTGGTGAAGGAGGAGGGCGTTGGTCGGCCGCCCGACTGTGATGCTTCACTTCGGGATGGACGTACCTGAGATGAGAGCCCTCTAGAGCGGCGCCCTTTGGGAGCGACCGTGCATCTCAGCATCGAATGGTGTGTGTTGGCTGAGGGTCTCCTCCAAGGCAGCGCATGTATGGTCAATACGGATAGCAGCAGCGATGGACATCTCCTGGTGTGGACTGTGATGCTGTGAGATCAGTACTTGACCATACGCGTAACTGTAAGGGCAGGTATCCTTCTATATAGCAGTAGCAGCAGTGTCCGGTCCCACGTCCCTATAGCCAGTGGGACGAGGAGAAGGGCCAGCTTTGGTGACCCCTGGGCCACGAACACTGCTGCCAACGCCACATGGGAGGAGCACACCGATAATATACTGCATTGGAAAAGACGAAGCCAAATGTTGCCTCCAGTCTCATATTTATGGGCGTGCATGTATCTGCCTTTTTCGATGCTAATAAGAACCCTACATAGGGAGGAGGGAGCTGACGTGAATTGGTATGTGTAGATAACTAGAGCTGTGCCGAAGTAGATGATGCCGGGTATGAGGACCAGTGGCGATATGACCTACACCAAGGATGAGGCATGGGAGGGAGAGGGGTTGGACATTCACCATGTAGCTGGCACAGATGAGGAATGCAAAGCACATGTCTACAAGCTCGATGGCGTAGGGCACCTAAATTTCATGGCGCGTGACGCTGCCTTAGCGGCCTCACATGGGAGAGAGGTGGATCCTCTTCAGGATACCGATATTTACGCCAGAGCATAACAATGAGATCCCCTCCACGAAGGAGCGTCCAACCCAGACCAAAGCCAATCTGAAGTACTCTGCACGCATGCACACAGGAGTAAAGAATGGGACCTTGGCGACCAGCATTGTGACCAAGTAGATGCCAACACTAGCAATGTCCTGTCCCATTGATCGGAGAGCATCTACAGGGCATGCAGAAGTACACTAGGCGAAAATAATGATACCCGCATCTAGTGTGGGGGAAAATATGCACATGATCAACTACATGTGTTGATGACAATATCAACCCTCTGAAGAAATTTCGGGTAATTCTTTTTGGTTTCTGTATACGTCTACCCGTAGTCGTACATAATTAGTGAGGAAAGCCGAGGAGAGCAAACATATATCCCCACATCACTTTCTAACGTGGTGCCCGCCATATTAACGATGCCCGGGAAGGACAGCCATACCTCTCCGACGACTATGACGTACCTATTGAGTCGTCCACAGGGGGGAAGGCGACGGTGCGCTTACACTGTGAGGAGCTGGAAGACAAATATGCGGCGTAAGACTGAGACCGTGACGCCCGAGCGGGTCTTCTGTCTCTCGTAGTTGACGCAGACCCATCTGTTGGAGGATACTACTGCGGCGGGTAGGGCGCACGATGGGTTCACCGGAAAATCCGCGGTAATGCGACTACGAGAAGTAGCTGGAGAATGGTAGGAACATATAGAGCTGCAAGTTTGGTCCAAAGCTCGATGCCGCCCTCCTCTTCGGGACTGCACGCCCAGGGTAAGGCTAGACCTACATGAGGTCCTCTGATGTCAATATTGTGGTGGTCGGCTTACTCTGTATGGCGACCAAGGGAAGGGCATAGCCCAGCGCCCATATCCAGTAGAGTGTCCTCGTTATGCGTTGTCTGCATGGAAGAACAGCATGCGTGCGCATAGATGGGGATACCTTTTGATGGCTTTATGAGTAGGGAAGGTTATGTTGGGCCATATGATGTCAGTGGGGCTCGGGGCCCTACTCACACACCACTCGTCAGCGGTATCCGACAGTCTTAGCTGGAGGGCCTATCACGATGAAGCAGAGGAGAGGTATGGCTACTTTGGAGCGCACGACGCCATACTGTAGCTCTCGGAATGCCTCTTACCATTTGCGTGAGCCGCATCGTCTTGAAGGTAACAAATGCAGTGCAGTCCTTGGTAGTAGGAATGGCCGATTTCACAGGCGACTGGTTGCCATCTCGCGTTAAGGAACAGCTAGGTCGATGACCCAGGGTGGGGAGAGTCCTCTTGGGGGGCTCAGAAAACGATAAAGGGGATAGTCTGAGACTGGGAAGGGCCGGAGGATAGTGATACTCCCATACGATGACTAAGGCACCTCGGAAGAGCACGGCGATTGGCAACTTGGATTTTCGGTGACAATGCACAAGGCTGAGCCATGGCGGCATCGCTCCCCTCATTATTGCCATCACGTTGAAGCCACAAGATTGTACCTCTATGAAGCACCGTCTGAGTCACAAACAGCCAAGACTGGATAAGCGACAACTGGGGGAGGTACCTCGTCACACAGACTCCGATCAGAGGCGTCCACTTCCTCCTCCTCCCCCTCCTCCTCTTCGCTGTCAGCAGTAGAGTTGTTGTTGGCCACGTCAGGGAAGGAGGACGGCATGATCATAGTTCGAGGTGTTCTCTGTGGGGACTCGAGACTAGCCGAATTGCCATGCCATAGGGCCCTTCTGAGGCTGCATATCTTCATCTACCCCAAGACAATATCATCCTTTCTCAACAACGATCGTCTCACATCTAAATCGTCTACATGCCTCTTCAGGGTCTTCCTTGCCGAGTTGGGTAAGAGGACTCGTGGGCCAGACTGGCACTTACTCAGCACACTACGAAGTCTAGTCTTGCTCCGGAGGCCCGACACGTCGTGACAGAAGGCGCATGCCTGGACCTGGTCCGGACTAGGGCGCTCAGGGCCAGCCTCCAACCTACAGCGTCCTCGCCGAGGATCTCAGAGAAGAACTGCCGGACCGCACGTCTCGACCTGTACCGGGGAGGTATGCGCTCTACCATTATAGTGCCTGCCAGAAGGATCAGGCGGGGGCCCTTGGCCCGTGGTGGGTTCACGTCTCTGTTGCCAATCCTTGCCGGGCATGGACGCGACCCAGCCTGAGCGGACATGGGCGAACAGACGATACTCTCTTGAGAGGAGGAAGAGGAACAACCTGGGGACGGCGAGTATGAGGTTGACCAGGCTTCGAGGGTACGCAGAAAGGATGTAGGCTGCCGCCACTGGCGACCAAAACCACTGAGAGCTTCGGTCCAGGTTACTGAACGATAGCAGATTCACACCATATACGAGGGAATCATTATCACCAGACCAATACCTGCATGATAGCGACGACCACACTGTGATCGAGTTGATAGACTCACATAGGGATAAGGGTGGCGAAGGAAAGAACAGCTGCCCAGCAACAGAACATGAAGCACGTCTGGCAATAACGTAGGACCATGAATCTGATGCCCTTTACTGATGAGCCAAGACAGAGAGTATCGACTCACGCGTCGGGTCCTATCCAAGGGAGGAGGTCGTATTTACGAAGAGTAAACCAGGTATGTAGTATCTACAGATGTCGCATGCAAGGAGACAGTTGGAATACGCGTCATCCTATACAGTTGGGAAAGGCCATATTTTCGGAGGTTGCTCGCTTTGAGGTAACGAACTGTAGCGCTGGATCTCCTTAGGATGCCAGAGTTGCTGACAGTACCTATCGGTTGGTGTGGGGAGGCGACAGGATGGGTAGACAGTACAGCTGCCTGCAGAACTTATTCATTTTGAGTATCTCATAGGCAAGCCATTGAGTCCACATAGCGATGCCACAGATAAGGCAGGTGAAGGCTACCTAATGCGACCCTATACGTATCGCATTGATGGCAAGCAGGGACCTCAGAGCCGTCAATGTGCCTGTATAGGCGATTCATGCTGGTGTCATCGCTGGAGCCATCATCCACGCACATCCTCAGCTTATCACCAAGACCATCTAGTCGTCGTATTAGTCGGCTCATGCTACTACTACTAAATCCTCTGGGATACCTCTCAATGTATGTGGAAAACCCGACGCTGCCGAGCTTTTAATAGAGTCCGACTGCATGAGTGCACTGTTACACCAAAGTATGCTATCTTTACGATCGTTACACAACTGATATCGATGGTGACACTACCCAGTTAGTAGTACTTAGCTTATCAGTACCAGAGCCCAGGTCCGTATACTAAAAGGGATTATAGGGCCTCGAGTCGGAAGTCGGGCGTGATTATCTAGATCAACCTCCTACGGTGTTTTCTACAGTGGGGAGAATCCATAAGATGAATTCTCCGTCTTCACTCGATTACCCTCTAAGTGGACATTTCCAGAATGCGGCAGCGCTGATGGGGTCTAGACTTGCGTTAGCCGAGAGATGCCCTCAACACATATCATCAAGGAGAGGCTCACACTCGCTGCCTTAGGACCCACCGACAGGTACTCCCTAGAACATCATTCCAATCCTCCATCACCACTACTGAGTGCGATGAGCTCCAATCTGGATCATGATCTGCATTCACATAAGTCTGTATAGCTCCAAGGAATGCCTTCATGGTAAGACAGGCACAGCCACTGAGCGTCGCAGTACCCTCGTCCACCCGATGAAGCTGGCGTCCCAAAGCGTTGCCGAAGTTTAATACAGCGACAACCAACTGCCAGTGATGAGATTTCCCACCTTTTTGGCGGTGCCAGTGACTACCTGACCACCCAATGGCTGTACCGGACAAGAAGGCTTCCGGTGCATCCTGTTTTGGGTATTCAAAGTATTCTGCCGTGTTGGGGTTAAACTTGCGTATGCCCCCCCCCCCATTCGCCTTGGATAATTCGGCCTATGAGATTCTGAATTCCATCCAGCATAGACCTACAGTTCAGCCAATCTAATGCTGATCCTGCCTGTGAGGTGCTCCTTCTCTATCACGGAAAGCAGAGCATAGTGTCGACTCTGAGGCCAAGGGACTATTCCAAAAACATTTACGAATGTTCTCCTGTTCCCATTTCAACGTCTACAATCCCCTGTACGTAGACATAAGGGCTCCATTGACTACTATGAACAAAGCTGGGCAGAGGAGACGTGTCGGCAAGTGTATCGGTGGTGGTGACAGATGAGGGGGGAGGGGTGACACTCACTCCTTGCCTTCGATCCGCCAAGCTGTGCATGCTGTGCCTAAGCTCAATGTAGAGAGTCACCGTCTGACACACCGGGGCCGTATTACAAACGAAGATGAGAGCCATGGCGTTGGTCTGTTGACTCTCGGGAAGCTGCCAGAATACCGCCTCGTGATTGGGACAGTTATTGCAGGTGTACTCGGTAGTCCGGGATAAAGTGGGGTCGTGAATGACATCGCTTCGTATCATCAAGGCTTCCCTGGAGGTAAGGAGGTACGAGGAAGAGGGCGAGGAGTGGTATGTATTACTTGTGGTGATAGGACACGTCATTTCTGAAGACGACCAAGTCGTCGGCGTTGATGTTCTCGAGCTCATCGTCCTTGGAAACAACTCGCTGAACGTAGGGACAGGTCCTGGAGAGAGGAGTTGGATCAATGTCGTGTCACCACCCTTGTGGCTGCAGTGTTGGAATATATAGTCGCTTTCCTCAGCTGATCTCAGGAGTTTCCTCACTAACTATAAACGCTACCACATGAATACGGGTAGAAATGTACAGAAACCTACGAGGAGTTCATCGAGTCTCCTCAGAACTCTCATGTTCGCAACAACACATGTAGTTGAACATGTGTACATTTTCCCACGCTTTTTATACGGGATGACCGAGCACAGTGGAGCAAGAGCGTGAGAGGCTAGTGATAGTTTATGGACAATAAGTTGAGCATGGTGTGGTATTAAAATATCGAGTATAAGCCCAGACCAGTACTGTCTAAAGCCCATCCCTCGTACCTGCAGGCATACTCCAATGCCACTTCCCCCTTGTTTTCTCGTGGGTAGAGAAGGTTGTTGCACTCTGGACAGAACTTTAATTGTGCCGACATACTAGACGGTAACTAAAGGGAATCGGAGGTTACGACGACTCGTTCGAGGAGGTCATCCAGCGAGGCAGATCAACCTTACCTAGGGTCGAGGTTCGGCATGAAAACAATCCCAAGACCGACGCAACTCAATCACACGAAAATGACAAACAAGTATCGCTTCGCTCCGCTGTTGGACGGAATTTGAAGTTCGTAGTTCCACGATTTGAAGCTCTTTCGGGTATGCCAAGCAAGGTCAGGGGGTTATTTCGTGAGGGCCTAACATCAGTAGCGTCGGGAAATTGCCCGCTTACTACAAGTGTATTGGAGTGGCCACGCTTACGGCAGCGGAAATGAGTTCCCTGGGGACGTGGAGGAGACTAGGGAGAATATCTGGACGAATTCACAGCAGGCTTGGCCACCGATGAGCAGTATATGGGTCGCTAGTCGATCGGAAATGATGGCGAATAGACGCTAATACTTGTTGGGCCTGAGGTTGTCGTAGTAGCACTGGTAGTACTAGTAGTAGTAATAGTAGTAAGAGTAATAGTATTACTGATGCATCCTGAGGTAGTCCTATGCCCTGTCCGAGAGCCTTCGATGGAATAGTACTACCTATGCTCCCTCCGTACGGCCAGGATCCCTTCAGAAGCCTCTGGAGGCTGCGAAGGTATTGTCGATGGATGGACGACCACCACCACCATGAATCCTAATGTCAGCCAGGTGCCATCTTTTCCCCAACCACCAACTCGTTATGTGTGTTTTACGGTTCAACTTATGATGCCTCGCGTCTCTGTCGCAGCCTTTTGTTATTTTATATGATTGATATCTGCCCACTGTTACTGCTATTGGTCATCCTGCCCACTCCAGTTGATGCTGATGAGGGAGCAGGGTGCCTGATCAACTGGAAGATCCCTGAGTTCATCACTCGTGACGAGCTAGGTAGTGTCCGCTGATCATAACCCTCTTAAGGAGCTCTATTGGTCAGGCAACGTCCTCAGTGTTGAGACAGATGTAGACGCGTGCATTGTGCTATCCGGTGTGACCTTCCTCAACATCTTCGCTTTCTATGCCCTATTCTGGTTCATAATACGCACGTTTGTGCTCTCGACTCAGTAGCGCTTCCCGATACACTTTGTTCCCATGTACAGCTGTGTTCCAAGACACTGTTGGTTGAGTTTACCCAGTCGTATACCATCTAATGGTGCATATCATTCTGAGATTATTGACGCCCTTGGTAGGGGGGAATCGTCCGAATTGGACGGAAGTTCGTGCGGTCACTAAGTTCATGTGACCAGAAAACATTTGACATTCTCTCTCTCGAATGTGAGAAGCGAGAGATGCTCACCAAAACTCATACCACTCGAAAGCCCTACAGATTTCTGATGTGACGACCTGGGCGTCACCCACAGGGTGACTGACCTTTTTGGCGGCGTAGTGTTGGGGGTCGAGCTCTCGCCTATGAACGCTGGAAATGGTTAGTTCCAGTGAAGTGGCCCTAGTTGATGTAGACTGGGCCTCTCGGAGGAATTGGTTACTTCTCCTTCATCAGGTCACTGTCCACTGTATTGCCCTGGGCTACCGTCAACCCGCGACTAGGAGTTCGCCGCCTTTTCTGCGACACTGTTCTATGGGTCCTCCCAGTTCATGACCCTTATCGTGTTGTGGCTCCGGGGAGAGCTGCTTATTTTCCTAACGAGATTTCATGCCCCTCGCCGCTGCATGCAAGCCTGTAGATGTTGTGTTGAAGTGACTGTGAATGCTGAAATCGAGAGTGAGCCCTTTCCTAGCGACCTCGATCTGACCCGAGCTCATGTGGCGTTCTCCCTCTCGGTCAGATCGAGCGCTTCTTGATACCTCCGACAGGAATGATGAGCTACCAGTCCGATGGGTTCCGCGAAGGGTCGCCTTATCATCATTCATATCACTCGAATATCTTGTGTGTCGACCTCGCCTTCCATCGATATCGTAGACCGGCCTTTCCCCCTCCATCGAAGTAACTTATTAATCTCCTGCAGCATGTCAGCGGACATTGTGGTTGTCATCATCCTATTCTTGACCGCCTTGGGGGTCCTCCACCTCCTCCACAAGGCGGCAATGTGGTCATTCCGTAATACACTAGACCGACTCGATAAACGCCTTACGAGGGTTCAGCAAGACTCCAAGGCCAGCTCAGTAGGCATCGAGAGGCAGCAGGAGAAGATGATAATTAATATGAATGAGAAAATTGAGGTCAGCTGCTGATTTCATTCTTTTGGTCCCTGTTATAGCGTTGCAGGCGCTAAGTAGCCGGTTGGAGGTCCTCGAGAGAGAACAGAAGGTGGTCCTGCAGGCCCTTACCAATGTTCAACAAGATCATAAGACCTTCCAGCACGACCGGGCTAAGATCATGATAGAGTTTGTGGACCAACGGAGTAGGATTTGCTCGAGGAGTGGTATGACATTGTAGTCTGCAGGAATAATGCAGCAACATATGGCCAGATTGAAGGAAGCCCGACTCAAGCGTAAGGATAACCCTGGGAAGACCAAGTCGGGAAAAGGAGGCGGTGGAAAGGGAAAGGAAGATGCCTGTCGGTGAGGTGTTGGTCCTCCTCATCGAGATCAAAGGAGATTTCCTGTAGGTGTCTCCAAATGGCCAGCCTCGGGCAACTATGTCCGTACTGTAAGAGTCTCGAAACTGAGGGCTCGAAGCCTAATAATGAACAAACTCCCACTAGAGGGTCTGAGGGGCCTCCAAAGAGGCTGCCTCCTACTCCAGCTTCTTCTCCTTCGCCTTGTAAACCTCAATGTGGCCACCTATCACAGTGCGTCAAGCATGAATGAATGTTTCTGTTCTAATCTTGTTGTTGTTGGTGTTGATATTCTAACTTCGACGGTCTTAGTTTCTTTGTCCAACTCGGAAGCTCTTCCTGGACGGGGATTCCTCCTCTTATTACTTTTGTTGCAGCAAGCGGCAGTGAATGCCATCATAGTGGTCATCTGAAACATGTGACAGAATGGTATGGGCATCATAACGAGTGTCTAGTGGCCGGATGTGACCGTTGTTGTAACTCACTAGATGCACACGATTTTGATGTATAGTTCTTGTGTACTGCTGAATACAGCGAACACTGTGTAGTGTCGAGTTGGTCAGTGAACGTATCGTAAGCCAAGAAGCACATTCTATTTTGCCTTCAAACATGGCACAGGAACTGCTCTGAACTCTCTTTACTCATCATGATTCCTCACAGACGTTCGCCTTCACGGGGAAGCTACTTGCAGCCTGAAGGCTGTGCATCTCCACTCACCATGAAAACGCCTAGGCGCGAGAGTTTTAGGGCAATCAGAGAATTTCAGTATTATACAGCTGAGCAGAACCACGCCATTGAGGGGATGCTTCGCCATGAACTCCTCCTGGGTCAAATAGAGTAACCCTTTGATGTACATTAGGGCGCTATGGGTCAAGCTGCAGGCCGGTCGATGGTGTTTAATAGTACGAAGCTACCTCGGAATGAAGAATCGATTATGATCGACTGTGTTGAAGGTTCATTGACTGGTGTGCCCAGTTGCGAATACTGGTCAGAACACAACCACACCTCCCGCGGAAATGCACAGGGTAACTCAATTATGTGACGTTGCTTCACGTTGAGGCCTCATTCTCTTGTATAGTATCTCGTATGCTGGATTCGGCTGACCACAAAGCTCAGGACTAGAAGGATGCAGTGTGTACTCCAACTTAGTCTTGTAAAATGCTAGACCTTGTGGACGGTTCTTCAGGCAGGTGAGCATGACCTGATAAATGCACCCTGCACCGCTCTGCGTGTCCATGTCTACTTACAATGTCCATGCCTAGCTGCAAGGCGATTGCTTCTACCAGCTGCATAAGTTCACCCCCAATCCCCTGTCGTTGATAAGGAGACGCTACTTGAATCTCATAAACGTACAATACCTGAAGACCCCCGATGAGCACAAAAATATCGGCAGCGCCCATCACGGATTGCTGGTCGTCATCATCTGCCCGTTCAAAGCGGAAGTGTACGAATGCAACGAGGTCATCAGCGGTTCTTGCCGAACCAGATTTGCCTAGTAGGAAACTTCATTGAGCTTCACGCGGGTGCCCATACCTTCCCTCCATCTCAAGAGGAAGCGCGAGTGCTTATGAGACATCTCTTCACGTTTGACATGGTCGTCCCAGTTAGCCCAGCCAAGTGCTGCATCATACGAGGTCTGTAATACAATACCGAAATCCCCAGATGTGAAGACTGCTGCCCACTTTCATATTCTCCCTCGTGATGTCAATGACTCTGTCCAGAAGCCCTTTGGACAGCTTAGTCCCCCTGTGGAAGGTGGTATTTGCTCCGAGAAGGACGGGCAGCTCCTTCAACTCCCGAGCGGCGGTAAGGATGTCCCCTGCCGATAAGACTACAGCCTGAAAAAACCCCTCTCGTGGCGATCCTCTGTTGCAAACAAAAGCCTCTCGATTTCGTCGGTAACTTAATCGCCAACCAGAGAAGAAAGAAATCTCTATTCTCCCATCGGGAGGTGGGCACGTAAACTGGATGGAATTGCTTACATCTCTAGAGGTGGGAGCTTTGCTGCTCTTCTTTCCGCGACCCATAGGTGGACAATAGAGCTTGACGGATCAACACTAGCCCTCCCTCTCAAATTGAGAGTCTCAATCATTATACCGAACCCGACAAATAACAACTCGAGAGGAAACTTGATAACACTTGTAGCTACGACATCAAACTCGGTGGCAACACGCGAAGAGAAGTCCAACTTCACAAGGTTGCACTCGTCAACTGAATCGGACCACAGGAGACGTGATGGTCATAGCCTTGCGTCTAATATATCAGATATACACTGGGATGGACCACCCACTGCAGTTTACACCTACACCATTTTCTGGTCGAACGAAAACAGTTGTAATTCAGTTTAACCTGCATATACTCTACACAGCAAGTCCCGAGTGCCTGCAACTCACCGAAACTCACGTGGAGCACAAAATAGTGAACCCATCGCGAGGATGGCAAAGTGTACAGCGAACGATATTCAGCAATCTGCAGTCAATAACTACATCGCGCTAGCCCTTTAGTTTTACACTAGTAGTTCTCCAATCTGCTGAAAAGAGTGGTTTAATATCAACGACACAAGTTTTTCGAACTTTAATGAGTATTTCAGGTGGATGCTAATCTTCTCCAAAACCGAGTCGATTACCCGTGCCCTTATAGATTGATTGAGTGGTGTTTTCATTTGGCCAGGAAATGGTCTAGAGAGAGCAACAGTAATATAGAGAAGTGACGTATCAGTTGACTTTGATACCACCGAACCGGAGAGATATCCTTCGAATTGACCCGCGGGAGTCTCATGAAGTACGCTCGAGACCTATCGAGTAGACAGGAAGGCAACACCTCGTCGCTGGTGAGTGTCTATCACCCCCCCGGTGACCTCGACGCCGCGTGGTTTTCCACTTCACATACAGTACGGAGCGGTATACCGTACTGGTCGGTACCCACCGACGTAATTCGGTACAGTACGGTATTCACGCAGAGGTAACTTTTTCTACAGAACGGCTCTCACACGTAAAGTTTCCTCTGCAAACGTATTTTCGATCTCTAGATGGCATGTACTGTATCAAACGACCTAAGCCGATCCTACGGTTCCGCGTATAGCGGGAATCGAAATGCTTGATAGAGGAACGAGGACTCACCGACAAAGGAGCGAGATCTAATGTCTAACGGACATCAACACTCCATTAGATCATCTGAGGGAGTGTTGATGTCCGATACAAAACTCAAGTCAAAAGTAATGTTGTGAAAGCCATCTCATGTAAATAGAGATGATATCAAAGCGTCAACTTTCGACGATTGGAAAAATGATGGAAAAGGAAACTTGATCGACCCCTGAAGGATGATAGGAAGCCTAGTTGCGGCCCTCACATTCAGACTCGGTGGGTACTAGAGTGACGAGGTACTCGTGAAGCTCATCTAAGGGACACAGATACCTGAGAGAAGCGATCGAGGCCGATATCGAGGCAGTAGTCAATGGTCTTCAAGTAACACATGTTGCGGCGACGCCACTCACTTGCCACGGCATCCCTCGATGGCCTCAACAGAAGCTACTCGACCATTGTAGACAAAACGGGCTTGGTTGTCGGAGTAGATCTCCATTACAAGAGTACAGCCGAATGGAGGCCAACTTTCGGCACATGTATTGCCAGAATCCATCCCTGAGAACGGATACTCCATATTCAGTGAGGGAGAGGGCACACTCCTACAGGTTAGCTCAAGCGCGTCGATGATGGAGTGGGCTGGACCCATATCATGACCGAGATACACCGATAAACGTCTATCACGTACGCCCAAATCCTCGAGTAAATCCTGAAACACTCAGATGGACAGATCGAAATCAGTGGAGTGCCTCAGGCCTACCCCAATGAATGGCCCGTAGGCGAGCTTCTTCATCTCCTTATTGACGCCATAACGGCCGAGTGCCCAAAACCTATCGCTGATATATAGTATGAGAGCTCGTGAGGACCCTTACACAGCCTCCTTCTCGACAGCCTTGAAGACGGTACCACTTTCTTCTAGTCCTTTAGGGACATTCTTGGGCTCACTTGGCACAGTTGAACAGACATGAGCAGTTAGGCAGTCCTATAGACACGAATTCCGATCAAGGCAATGATTCACTTGATAGGCATGTTACGTGAAGGGGGTCAAAAAGATCCTTCATAGCTCGTGTGTTGTTGGTATTAAACTCTTTGCTGCGACAAGTAGCAGCTCCAATAAATTCGCGCAGATCAGTCGTTTTCTGCGCACGTTCCTTGGCAGTCGGAGAATTGTAGAACTCGTTCAGAGCATCATTGAGGCGGGGGCACACCTGAGGGTACAATGCACTCTGAAAGGTACGAAAAGTAGTCAGAATATCATTAGTATGTGGTGAGGAGTTGGTCATTTTGATAACCTACCGAAGGGTTAGGCATCAAGGTATCTCTTTGTCTGTCGGGCATTATAATACTTAGTTTCGAGTCGTCCGCTGAAATATATTCCACGAACAATTGGAAAGCGACTTGCAAGGATTCGGCAAATCTCACCATGGACAATTTTCGGGAACAACCCCATGGCGAGAGCTTCCGCGCTTTGGTGAACTCGTGGGACATCAGTTGAGCGGAACATGACCTCAGGCTCCTTAGGGATCTGATGAGTAGCTAGTGTGTTAAAGAGAGCTTACCAATAGAGGTTCGAGAGAACGTACATCGGGCAATCCCAAGACACTCTTGTAGGCAGCGCCAAGCTGCTTTCCATTGGCCATGTGCATTTGCACTCCGGCATCGACAAGTTGGCCTAAGGATGGCTGAGTGACCATGGTGCTGACTGCTATGTGGGAGCTACTATGGTGATGATAACTCACCCAGGAGGCAACCGTCACCCGGCAAGACACTCTTCTTGCCACGGAGGCGAGAAAAACCGGGAGAGCGGCCTCCGGACGGACTATCAGCGAAGCCAGCGAAGGTCTTAGTCGGGCAAGTGTATCTGAACAACACGGGCAGTACCCACTTGGCAGAGGGAGCTTGTCATCGTGCCCGTTTAGAGCAACTCTAAGCATACCTGGCCTCGTCGTTAGCCCAACAAGTCATATCGTACAAGGGCGTGCGAGCACCATGACGCGCGAACACCAGGACTTTGTCCTACACAGACGCAAGAAGGAGATAACTACGGCCGAAGCCTCACCAACTTAGAGCCGTCATGTTCCCTCGGAGGAGCATCAGGCCATTTGATCTCTGAATGGCAATCATAAGTTGACTTGTCTTCAGGAAACTCGAGTGTGGAGATAAGCGCTCTTACTCCTACAGCCCCGAACAGAAGAATTACTCTCATGTGATCAAAAGTGAAACTGCCTGACGGTGAACTTTACCACACGAGAGACCACGCCAAATAACTAATCTTGAGTCAAGGATCTTGATCTGTCTGGTACACATGGTGCGGGTCTCACCGAACAGAGCCAAAGTCGGACTTCAAGACTAAGAGTCTGTTACGTGTCACAGTTTACCTTGGTTTATGCTTTAAAAACTGCATGAACCTTTTACACTTTTAACTGTGAAGGGCAATGCCCTCAGGGCATAGGACACAGCTAATAGTGGTCAACGACTTTGAACAGACAGTACCAAGTATACCGTTCTCAGTTCTTGGTATTATGATGTTGTATAACTAATATGTAACGGAGTCTGTAACAAGTCCGGAGTCGATAGGACACTCCGCAAGATTCAATACACCAGTGTTTGTGGTGAGAGTCTCACCGTGAGACGCAGAGAAGAGGCCGTAGTGACGTTCAGGCCTGTGGCACAAGCTGATATGTGAATGAACATCTCGTAGGGATGAGTACTGAATAGCCTTTTGGATGGCCCCTGGTAGCACTGAGGCCAACTGCCTCACAGCTCCGAATGACCTCTGTGACCACCGCCGCCGCCGCAGCGCCGGGTCGATATATGTATTTCAGGATGAGGATGAGGATATTGGATTAGAATACAGACGCCTACTTCTTGGGCCTACTTATCCGCGGCGGGGCGGCTATGCCATCACTCCTGGATACCGTATCCAGGATACGCCTCAGTACAATTAACGTCTCTGGCCGGGGCGGATATGCCACCGCTCCTAGATACGTCGCAGTACGATCAATCTCCGTGGCCGGGGCAGCTATGCCACCGCAAATAGATACGCATCAGTACAATCAATCTCCCTGGCCGGGGCGGCTATGCCACCGCCGATAGATACGCCTCAGTACAATCAATCTCCCTGGCCGGGGCGGCTATGCCACCGCCGATGGATACGCCTCAGTACAATCAATCTCCCTGGCCGGGGCGGCTATGCCACCGCCGATGGATACGCCTCAGTACAATCAATTTCTCTGGCCGGAGCGGCTATGCCACTGCTGCTGGATACGCCTCAGTACAATCAATCTCCCTGGCCGGAGCGGCTATGCCACCGCCGATGGATACGCCTCAGTACAATCAATCTCCCTGGCCGGAGCGGCTATGCCACCGCCGATAGATACGCCTCAGTACAATCAATCTCCCTGGCCGGGGCGGCTATGCCACTGCTGCTGGATACGCCTCAGTACAATCAATTTCTCTGGCCAGAGCGGCTATGCCACTGCTGGTGGATACGCCTCAGTACAATCAATTTCTCTGGCCAGAGCGGCTATGCCACTGCTGCTGGATACGCCTCAGTACAATCAATTTCTCTGGCCAGAGCGGCTATGCCACTGCTGGTGGATACGCCTCAGTACAATCAATTTCTCTGGCCAGAGCGGCTATGCCACTGCTGCTAGGAATGCCCTGGTACAATCAGGCGAATGATAATCTAACATGGTGGTACAACCGCTACAGCCGAGGAATCGGTTTCGCTGAGAGCGAGATAGGTCTTTGGGGAATATAGCCTGTCAGACAGTAGTATTGGGTGGGCATTCACAGATGTCCACAGCATTCGGCCCACACCCCGACTGAACGTCGGTACTGGAGGCGGGTGATAGCTACTGGAGATCCATCACCGAGCGAAGGCTGTCAGACACGCAGCGTCCCAAAACTCATATGGCTCGCATCCAATCACGAAACATATAATGCCATGTTCAGTATGCAGTCTTGATCATCGTGCTCGATCTGGGTCATAACCGTATTTGAGAAGCCAACCTTCCCTCAAGGCTTGATGAAAACCGAATCGACTCATACGTGTGTATCTTTCGAGAAGACGTCGAAGAATGCACCACGCAGTGGGTGTACCTCTTCACTTCATTGGCATGCCCAACTTGTATATCCCTATTCCTGATCCTATTCTTTCCGACCATTTTATTGGCATCTATACGACCGAATACACCGAGATTTTCATACACTACTTTGTAGACCCTAGTATTCACCTGATTGGACTACCTCTAATCACACTGGGGTCTGATATTACCTACCTCCGAATCTTTGAAGGCCAACCTGGCCATATGATCTTTAAGATTCCTGCGGCGGAAGGTTGGCAATCCTAATGGCGCTGCCTGAAGCGTCGGACCGGGGTTACGGGCTGCCATGATAGTACTACAGCTATCCTAGCACCCCTGATAATAATCGCCATCCCATGAGACCAGGATTGCGTCACTGCGCCACGAAATTGACGATCTCGCGTTCAAAGTTAGTTGCGATCGAGTCGCTGGCTGTCTGTGACGTTGAGGTATCTTCATTGAGTGAAGATACACGGACCATCTGGTAAGTATACTTCGGAACATGTCTGTCATCATTCCAGATTGTTTATCGATCATGCTTAGCGGGAGGGTTCTGGCCTCTTCTGTTCATCTACAGGCTGCCTCACCTTCTCTCACGGCTCTTCAGGCCTGCAGGAGTCTTGTCGACAACCTTGGAACGATCGTAGCATCACAGGTGGTGTCTCTGCTGGGAGTAGTTGGGATCAGGTTGATCGGTCTCCCAGCTCTCACCTACAGACCATGAGGCAAGCCTTGTTGGTATCAGGTCAGTTCAAGCCTAAAGACGCCAAAGAGACACGTGAGTTGAGAAGTCTACGTATTTGTTGGAGCCTTGCACATTCAAGGTTCATTTGTATCTGATTTGATCGAGGTCCAAGACATGCTCGCTTCTGCTGGGATGGTGAATCTCGTGAGAATCACTGAAAGATGCTACTGCTACTTCCGATGACTAGTCGCTAATCAGATGCCTCCACAGTCAGAAAGACTGGTGAAGTTGGCCCGGATGGATGCTGCACGATATTATGATGGACGTAAGGAGAACCAAATAGTAAAAGTAGGCTGGGTTGAGCCCCCCTGCTGTTGGTAGTGGGCTCGGTCTTTAGGCCCTTGCGGGTTTTGGTATGCCGGCTGAAGTGGTGTATACTTCCCCAAGACTCAGTCATATAAAAGTAGCATGGATGAAGGGTGCTTTGGTCATTCCCCAAGAGGGCTGCGATGTGGGATGCGTTGGAGTTCATGTAAGGGAGTATTCATAATGTTCAGGAAGAGAGTCTCCAGCGTTACGCTAGGCGAATAGCGGAGACCGAGGTCTGTAAGGTTGCAATTCTGGATAAATGGGGTAGTGATGGGAAGCGGCGGACTAACGCGATTTTGGTTGGCAGATACTGCTAGCAATCAGAGGCACTACCTCAAGAACGTCCTTGTAGCCTTGCAGCAGGCTGGCCCTGTAAAGAGGCCGGATAAATTTCATCAGTCAAATTGAGTGCCGATGCACGCCTGCGTAACTTTCTGTGGTGTTTCATGTGATGTTTTAGAGGCCTTTGCGTTTTCATACACGAGCAGTTTTTAGGGTTTGACGACCTTTTTGGGGGGAGGCGAGTACGATGCGTATTACGAGATTGTAGGCTTGTGCGATCCTTGTTGCCAATGGCCGATATCCGTCCTGATGGTCCCCCTAGGGAGGGTGTCAGAGGTGGACTGGAACAGTTCAAGTGGGATGATATCAAGAATATCAGTTATAAAGATAGAGAGCAATATCTGGGGTAGTATGGGCCTAAGGAATTACTCTGACGAGTAGCCGTCTACGGTGACCTGCCCTACTGTGGGAAGTCTAGGTAGCGTGGGACTATACCCTGTGGCGTGAGTGCTACAGGGGATGGGAATTTGGAAGAAACGTTATATCACTAGATGGGCTTTGATGAATTGTACCGGTATGCTGTAGTTACTCAACGAGACTAGGCCAACTGGGCAAATTTGGTCGGTGGAACCGTAATGATTGGTGGCGGACGGAACGAAGAGGAGCCAAGCAGATCGAAGTATGTGGGAACCGCAAGTGACTATTGTGATTGGTGATGTTAGGATGAGAGGTCTTCTATTCAGCAGTATGAAAACGAGATCATGCTAGAGGCCCTTGGTCAGAAGCCTAAGAGGCTCTTGCTGATGCGGTAAGGTAGTTGCCGAATGACGCGTTCCCTGATGCCATTGGATTAGGAGTGACAATATGACGCCTGAGCAACTTGCTGCTATTGCTCGAGGGGATGACCCTGACAAGCCTAAGGATGCCGATGGTAGGGAGGGGCGCTTGTGTGGAAGGCTTAGTAGTGGTTTGGGGTAGGGAATGTTAAGGATGAGAACGCAGCAGGCCCGGGAGATGATGACTATGAAACGCAGAAGTTGATCGAAGAGTCTAACTCGAAGAAGGGAATGGGGTTCAACCCTTATGCCAAGCAGGCGGATCGACTGTAGTACTGGGGAGCTCCTAGTAGTAGGGGAGAGGTGGCGTGGTAGGTACGGGAAGTCTAACACGACGGTGCTGGGGGAAGATGGCGTTACTCGAGAGGTGGTGAAATTGGATGAGGATGATAATGTGAAGAAGGAGTTGGATGAAGAGGCAGACGATAACAGGGAGGAGTGGTAGGGCAGGTTGGGCAGCTGTTGAAGTGAACGCTCTTCACGTAGGGAGTATCGGCCGCCACCACGGAAGGTTTTGGGACCTGTCATGCCTGGTAGAGAGAGAGTGAAGGAGGAGCTGGAGGAGGGAGAGGAGGAGGAGGATCCGAGGGATGCTAAGGCAAGACGGAAGGCTGAGAAGAAACTCGCTAAGAAAATCAAGAAGGATGAGAGGCGAGCTGAGAAGAAGAGGAGGAAGGAGCACAGGGAGAGGTAATAGTGGAGGTAGTGTGAAGGACTGTAGCGTAAGAGCAGATCTGAGGACAGAGAACCCTCCAGGAGGCGGGCATCGTCTAGGTCAAGGTCTCCTCTAAGGAGGTCTCGGCATGATAGCAGTAGGAAGAGAGGTGAGATCGGGTGGTGCTCTTGTAGAGGTTCCAGCGTTGAAGTCTGTATCGAAAAATGCGAAACCTGCTCATGTCGGCATTTGTGGTTTTTTGTGTTTTTCCCCCCACATATTTGGCTGGAGGGATAGCTGATCCTCTTTAGATTCACCGCGTGGTGAGGATCGTCATCGTCATCATCATCACCATCGTAGGGAACGCGATGATTATGATGAGAGAGGACGTCGCTAAAGGCAACGCTTACTGACGTGCCTACGTCCATTATATTCTCTTCGAAAGGAGGAAGGTAGACTGCAACATTTAAAGGTGGTAGTGTTGAGTAGTAGTGAAAAGTCAATTCACTGGGGTAGTTGCTATGCCATGCAACGTCTTGTTCGATACGACTAGGCTCAGGGGTCCATTACGGAGCCCCACTGTTACTCACCATCACATGAACACCTTAGGGAGGCCTCGTCTCTGGTTATTAGGGAGGGGGGGGAGAACACTGCGGCAGTCTGGGCGAATTGTTCGATATTGGCGGTCATTGCTCCTACGGCTTCTGTCGAAGGAGTTTGCGGTTGGTGTAGTGAGGAGGCTGATCGGTAGTGGTCAACTGTTGGCCCTACTTTATCACAGAGACCTCAGCTTCTTCATCTTTGCCCACCTCGGCTCTTCCCTGGGCCCTCTGTTCAGAGCCTCGGTGGCGAGAGGCCGACCAATGACGCCATTTAATACACAGCTCGTTGAACTCATGTGCATTGCAGTACTCTCCTTCTTGTTGTGTTATCTCACGTTGATGATTGTGAAGGCAGTACGGCCGCTGATACATGAGGGGCGCTGTCGTGCTGGGCCATTTCGCTGGGCTCCTACTACTTCCTTGTCTCCTTTTCTCTCGGCTTCTTTTCTGCAGCGCAACTCTGACCGAGGCCGTAGATTCTGGGGTAGTATCGTAGTCTCAACGACAGGGTTGCTAGCAATGGCTCTCCTCCGTTCGCCGAAAGAGATGCCGGGCTTCATGGAGGTATCGGTGGAAGTCGCTGAGGCCATCGCGAACAACAAACCAGTGGTGGCCCTCGAGAGCACCATCATCACCCACGGTGAACTTGCTGAGTTCAGGCTCAACGCAATTGGGTATCCTTAGGCATGCCCTATCCGCAGAATTTGCAATCGGCCCTTGAGGTGGAGAGAGTCGTACGAGATGCCGGCAGCGTGCCTGCCACTATAGCGCTCTTGAGAGGGAAGGTTAAAGTTGGCTTGACGGGGGCGGAGATCAACGAGATCGCCGAGATGGGACCAAGCAAGTGCTCGAAGGTATTTCCTCGTCATCTCCCTTAGTCATGATCTCTATGTAGGTCTCTATACGCGACATAGGGCTGTTGGTGGCCAATAAGGGCTATGGATCCACTACAGTAGCAGCTACTATGCGCATAGCCTCAATGGCTGGCATACGAGTGTTTGCTACTGGTGGTATTGGTGGAGTTCACAGAGGGGCCGAGGTAGGGGGGAAGGTACTCGTACTTGGTCGATACTTTGTTAGCAGTCAACATGGGATGTGTCTGCTGATCTCACTGAGTTGGGCTCTACTCCAGTAGCAGTAGTTTGTGCTGGTGCCAAAAGTGTGCTGGATCTTCCCAAGACGCTTGAAGTGGGGGAAGTCTGTGGTCGTCTGCCTCAGCAGTGAGTGCTCCTCCTGTAGTTCCTCGAGACGCAAGGGGTGCCTGTCCTCGGTTGGGGTACGGATATTTTCCCGGCATTCTTCACCCGGGATAGTGGTCTTCGGACCTCTGGTGTTGTGGACGATGCTGATCATGCTGCGAGGTAGGTGAGAGGAGTTCTTTGGAGGAGGTAACGGTGGAGTTCAGATTTCTGGCAGCCTCCGACCGCTTCTTCTCGGTACCACGTTACAGACGTCCAGGGTGCGTCATAGCATGCCCAGTACCGGAGGCGGGAGCTGCTGATATGAAAAGGATAGAAGAGTGCACTAAGGCGGCGTTGAAGGAAGCTGAGGGGAACGGTGTTCAAGGTGAGTGGGGAAGGTCTGCTGCTGGGGATGGTAGGAGTCTCTTTGAAGGCGCTGATGTAACTCCCTTTCTGCTCAAGAGGATCAACGAGTTGACGGGTGGAGAGAGCTTAGCGGCTAATCTGTGTCTTATTAAGAACAATGCAATGGTCGCCAGCCAGATAGCAGTAGCCTATCATCAGAGCGTAGTATCCTTTCCTGGTAACAGTCTACAGTGTTGATGTAGTTCTTCCGCCAAAGAGGCGAGGCGGCAGGCCCTGGGGCGGTGGCGGTGTTGGGAGGGATAGCAATGGACATCACTGCTAAGGCGAGTGACCCAACGAGTGCACGGGCTCAGTGAGACTATCCATGGGCTGTGTAGTCGTGGGAGAGGCTCTGTGTCGTTGATATCAGAGTCTACTGTCCCAGGCTTTCTGTCGATGTCCACTGGAGGGTCGGCCTCTCCTTGGCAGAGAGCATGGCGATGTTGGGGGCGACACCTGTTTATCTCAGTGTCGGTCGGGATAGCCATGGGAAGCCTGATGCAGTAGGGATGGTCTGCGCTGGGTCCACGATGGGAGGTGGATACTCTCAGGCGTCTTCGGCAGATAGGGGTGCCTACCACCAATGTGAAGGAGTTGACCAGCGAGTCCACTGGTACATGTACCCTAGTACTTGACGGTCGTGGAGAGCTTATATCGGTAGTAGTAGTAGTAGTATTAGTAGTAGTAGTAGTAGTAGTAGTAGTAGTAGTAGTAGTGATGTCGCACGGATTGACAGTAGTACCGGTGCGGGGAGCGGCCTTAGTAGTAGTGATGTCGCAGGGATTGACCGTAGTACTGGTGCGAGGAGCAGCCTTAGTAGTAGTGATGTCGCAGGGATTGACAGTAGTACTGGTGCGGGGAGCAGCCGTAGTAGTAGTGATGTCGCAGGGATTGACCGTAGTACTGGTGCGGGGAGCGGCCTTAGTAGTAGTGATGTCGCAGGGATTGACAGTAGTACTGGTGCGGGGAGCGGCCTTAGTAGTAGTGATGTCGCAGGGATTGACCGTAGTACTGGTGCGGGGAGCGGCCTTAGTAGTAGTGATGTCGCAGGGATTGACAGTAGTACTGGTGCGGGGAGCGGCCTTAGTAGTAGTGATGTCGCAGGGATTGACCGTAGTACTGGTGCGGGGAGCGGCCTTAGTAGTAGTGCTCTCCCATTGTAGTTCCTATGGGGTTTGTGACAAACCGTTTGTCAGGGTGTAGCCGCGATGGACATCTTCGACCGTCTCGTCCATCCCCTCATCAACATCCCTCAAGTCCTCAGACAGGAGGATATGTCTCAGCTCAGGGTCCTCTTGGTAGATGCCAACATCCCTAGGGACACCATTGTTCGGGCCTCGAAGGCCTGCAGGTGGGTAGTAGTCACTTCTGTGATCAGTCTTCAATCACTGAGTGTAGGGCCCGAGGAGTGGAGTGTTGGTTGGACCCTGTGAGCACAGTGAAGGCTGCTTCAAGAGTCGGCAAGGTTGGAACATAGCCTCTCTACTGTAGAGTTGGAAGGTGCTCCTCAGGCCAGCGATACTGGCGAAGAGCTCCTCGACACTGTCGATGTCGTCTCGCCCAACATGCGTGAACTAGCGGTAGGGGCAGTCGAGTTATTTATGGTGCTGTTACTGAGCACATCTTAGGTGTTAGCCTCTAGCTATCTTTATCCGGCCCAGATAGAGGTGGAGCCTCTGAGGAAGGAGGAAGTCATCCAATGGGGCCTCACCACTGCTACATTGGTAGGCTCGTCGTTGGTCGTGTCGAGGTCCCCTGCCGCTACATATCCCGAGCAAGCCTTGTCTCACTGAATCGCTCATCTAGTTACTAGAAAGGAGCTCAGTGAGGCGCGTGTTGGCATCGTTCGGCAAGCGAGGTGTCATACTAGTCACCAAGGAGGCTCTTACTCCTCTGCCCTCTAGTATAAGTCCACTGTGCCGTAGCATTGGAGGAACACTGCAGATAAAGGTATGGCACTACCCTTACTGTCATAGCTTGGCCTTCCCTATATCGAAGGCACTGCCAACAACCTCCTCTAGTATCACAGCTGTACACTACGCTGCTGAGCCTGTCGATAGCAGTAGGGGCTATCCCTTCATATGGCCCCTGCTTTCCACCGATTTTGTTTCAGTGGTGAGCTCCACTGGAGCCGGCGACAACCTTCTCGCTGGTGCAGCATGGGCGTATGCTTGTCGTGGAGTCCCAATAGAGAGGGCTGTGGTGGTCGGTATGGCGACTGCTAGGATGAGCCTCTTCACAGAGTAGCCATCTACTGGGCTGGTCTATATCCATTGTCAATGCCCCTTCAGGTCGGCTTGCCATCCTGATCTGTGTTCCGAGGAAGTGGAGCATCTCCTCTCGGAAGGAGCCGGCATCAGCAAGCTATGACGTGTCGTGACGATCGTGACTTTTTAACTTCTGAAGACCGCGCCGTAACCTTTTTCTATGACGTGAAACCTCTATATTACCGCAATGTTCCTCAATCGCCGTAGTCAACTCTCGCGTTCGTGCCATGGGATGCCTTACTGGTGGCAGGATCGACTCACAGGCATGCTAGGTAGCCGACAGCAGATCCTTGCAGCATTCCGGCAGACGCTGAGGCCTCCAACGGTCTGCACGCCCTTGGGCGCGGCATCACAGGTCCGAGGAGGCTTCTATGAAGGCAGCAACAAGGACCACCGTCAAATCACCATGGTAGGGTAGAGAGCCTCTCTCTTGACTGACAGATTCTCATCAGCCCGTCCCTCGCAATGTTCGGCCAAATGTCGTCGTGAAGGGTATTCGGAAAGTTAGTGCGAAATTGGACATTCTGAAGACTCAGACGAAGATTCGCAGCTTCGAGGGAAACTCCATGTATCGCATACGGAAACTGAGTGAGTGCTTGCGCTTCTTGTATGATGCTGATTTATGTGTGCCTCAGATGAGCGGGCTTACTTTAGGAAGTGGCATTATCTACGGTATGCTGTAGAAACTCTCAACTTTTACGCCCGGAAGAGGTAGGAAGGTTCCTTTCTCGCCTTGGTGTTTTACTGTATTTTTGCAGAGCCCCTTTGAGCATCTTACCGAAGGAGGATCCGTCCAACCTCGAGATGAGGCTATTGAAGCCTGTACTGCCACAAGGCGATCCTTCCAGGAAGAGAGCCAGATTTTGTACCACTCCTCTTTGTCATCGGTGGCCACTTCGATCTATTTCAGGGTCGAAACCAGACGGATTTTCCGAGAAGGAGCTTTGGAACATCGCAGATGAGGTCGCAGAAACTCCACCGAAGACCTCGGATGAGCGCCTGTCCTTCGAGTGTCGAGGGATAGCTCGATATTGACACATAGACAGCTGAGCATGCGGTCTTACAGACCAGGAGTTTCCGATTTACAACTGGCTTGAGTCATCAGTGTTGACCTTCAATGCATACCCTAGAGTAGGGTTTTGCACTTATATTGGCAGAAGCTTCCTCAAGGGAGCTCTCAAAAGATCACTGTCACGACCGATGAGCTCTTCTGGCCATTGCTGTTGCCTCAAGCCCGTCGCTGAGGTCTACTCGAAGTCTATTCATCATGTTTCTTGCCTCCTTTGTAGACGGCATGGTGTTTGGGCGTCCGACCTCCAGCGGGAGGATATAGTAGCGAAGAGTATACTCGTCGTGAAGATATGTCTGTTGTTAGGCGGAGTCAGGATGGCTTTGGAAGAAGTCAAAGGTCGTTGGCATATGGCGACTTCGATGGTGCTGCGTTGTGATGAGCCAGCGTGCCCTGTTCTCCTTTGAGCAGAGGCCCGATTGGGTTCAAGATGCTAATCTCCAGGTGGAATATGCTACCATTGCTCGGCAATGTTGAGCTGTTGTCGTTATGGCAGCAAAGCCCTACTGAGAAGATTTCCCTCAGCACTGGGGATCTCAAGGAGCTTCAAGGGTCATCATTCATGGGATTCACGATTGGCAACAGAGTTTTCGCCCTACCAGGTATCAGTCTCTGTCTTCGTGATATCTTGGATACTTGCGGGGCTCAGGTACCCCGAGTACTAGGGGAACACTTCTCGATTGGCTCATGGCTATCGCCTTTGTGAAGGGAGATGAAGAGACGATTGACAGGCAAGTTGAGGCTGGGCCCATGAAGAAGCTACCCTTTGCAGATGCGTGGACTTGGTATGCACGAATGATGCTGAGAGGTCCGCTGACTCCGACGGAGACCTCTCTCAGTTCGACTCCTCCACGTCAACTGATGCCTCGATTTTTTCCCATGAATTTGCTATATACGTACACGGTGCCACCGGTGATCAAGTGAGCACCATTTCTCCCTGCCTGCGACATAGACTGCTCTATGATTCCTCAGATCGCTATGGAGAGCCTCGACTTTGCAGGCTTGTGGCTCATACCAATCTCCAGTAACAGGGCGACTATAGCTGCAAGCTGTGAGCTGTGCCAGAGACTTCGTGGCCGACAAGATTTGTGTGGGACTACCCGTTGTGGACACATATTCCATGTGGACTGCCTCTATTCCTGGGTGAGGATGGATTGCCTTTCCGCGTCGATCGAGTGACTCTTCTTTCAGACGCGGCAGAGTGTAACACATAACTACTGTCCGTACTGTCGTACAAAATTCTCTTATGAGGAGACTGATGATGGTACGAGTGACTCTCCTTGCCCGATGCCTTGTCCCTCGAGGTGAGCAGATGCATACCATGTCCTGTTGCGGGATGTACCGTCCTTAGCGTCATGACGTTTTCTTACCGTCGGACTGTTTGCTTGGAGTCGTACGTTCGGAGAGACTCTATTTCCCTGCCGATCTCTCCTGTACAGCGGTCTCCACCTCTGAGGCCTCCCGCGAAGAAGTACTCCTCGTTGCCTCCAGTAGCTCCTGCTCCGCAGCCAGTGGAAGCAGCCATGTCTCTGGGAACGATGTTATGGAAGTCATAGTGGAGTTATATAACTTAAAGCTCGATGCTTGCACTACATCCAAGGCAGTCCATTCTCGACTTGGCATTACCAAATAGTGTCACCATCAGTATGGATAGAACTACTCCAGATTCGTATGCTATACACTTTCCCTTTCTAGTACCCTAATCTAGCAACACATTTACGATAGGTCAATTAGTACACTCATACTGGACCGCAGCAGTGTTGTCAATACTCACCGAAAGGCTGATACATGACTGGGGATATTATAGCGTTTACACAGTGGGCCTAAGGTGGCCCACGGAGGGAAAGATGGGAAAGTTATTTCCCTCTGAAGGGAAAATGAAGGAAAGATAAGGAAAAATAAAATTTTCCCCTCAGCCTGCCACGTCTGGCAAGCCCGAACATCACTGCCCGATTTGGTCAAGCTGCAAACATACGCTCTGCACTCACAGATATTTATGATAGATTCAATGGGCCACAAGTTTCCCAGATCGTGACAAAATTTCAGATTCATGAAATATCCACACGGAAGGAAACTCGGGCACGGAGGGCAGTGCACTCCTCCGTAGCCATGAGCCATGATCCGCGATCAATGCTGATTAACCAGTTCTGCCTTTACTCGATGTTTTCGATCATGGTCCGCTAGGACACGGCTGGACTGTGTGTACTGGAACTTCTGTGGTTGAAAGACGATGCTACCGCTGAGCACTGTCCAATGGGCGTAGTTCCCTGATAATAGACCTCACGTCGCGTTATGTTGTGCTGTAGATAACTGAGCGAATATCGACACCACGTTTATCGTCGAACCAGAACGTGGGCATTTCTAGAGAAAAAACTGAAGCCTAGTTGAAAGTGCGCATCGCATTCTTGCTCGCCACAATAACCTTCGGTCATTCGGGCGAATTTTTCTTCTCCGTTATCATTCTAACCAATCCATGAATACAACCATGTACTCCAGACGGCATTTGCCGAGATATCTTTCATCCTTCGACTTTTTGTGACAACTTTTGCCTTCCTCTACTTATCTTTATTTTTCCTTGTTTCTCCATATTTTTTTCCTACCCGAAACACTTTTCTAAATTTCCTTCATTTTTCCGAAAGAAATACAAGGAAATATTTCGTGCCATCCTAACTAGGCCTTCTCGACGGAGTGGCGGAGCTAGCTCGCTATGTGCCACGTGCTCTGCTGACTCCGGTGTAAAACTTGATGA